AAACACTTACGACCGTTTTGTTGTTTAAGCCAACACGGGCTTAATTATAATTTATTTATTTCAAATTCCACATTTAACTTTGGTCCGGCCATTGACATTTAAAGGGACTACGGGATATTTCCCTTTACGCGAAAAGCAAAACTAGAAATGAATGAGCAGTCACTAATAAAATAGGTTTTGGAATTACCGATTTAAATTTGATGTTAGATTAGATAGGCAGCCTTTTCACTGTATAAAGTTGATTAACAACCTCTGACTTCTGTCCCAGTTGAAAAACTTTTTATGATTTCAACGTATTCAGGCAAAAATGGATCTGTGTGCTTCATTTTCGGATGCTTGTACAGGATTTGAAGCAGGTCTTTGTCCAGCCGCCTCAAGGAGTTCGAAAAATTGTGAGCTTTCATTTTATGTGGCAAGTTATTGTGCTTTATGAATTACAATAGGAGGGGATTCCCGTATCTCGTTTCGAAAGACGTACATTCGATTGAAATAAGAAGTGATCACAAAGTTTTCAGATTTAAGCATGTTGCTATGCACAAGGAAGTACGTTATAGTTAGCCTATTCGAGAGGGAATACTACAGCGCTTTGTCTAATTTGTGGAACTATCACCGTTTCATTTCGGATTACTCGTGTATGTTTGATTTATGAAAGACGGACAGTCGAATCATCTGATACTATTTATTCTTGCTTTTTATCGGTATAAGGAATTTGGTTAGAAAAGATACATTTTCAGAAAATCCTTATGATTACGGTCCGTGAGTCCAGAGAGATATCCTGCAGAAATTGCCTATTATTGTCTGGTAGATTTTCCACTTAGAATTTAGACCAGAAACTTTGCAGATTAATTCTTGCTGCTTTAGGTATTGACGACGAGTATTGCGGAGAACAGTATGGCCATTGACGATGTAGCTTACGTTGTTGATACTGGAGTAATCAGAAAAGTAAGAATTCACGATTTGAAGTTACGTATTCAGAGAGAATTCTTTGAAAATACAGGAACGTTTACAAGCAGGAATCACTGGATTGGATATTCAAGCTCTTTTCAACGTCAATATTGGTGGGTTATTCTCCACTTACTTACTTACTTAACATGAAGTAGTCTGTTTTCATAAATCTGTTAAACGCTTTACAGAGGCTGGTGGATTTCAACCGAAATTTAGCCCATTATTTTCCGCCATCTAAAGGATTATTCTCCCCTCAGATAAAAATTGTTGCAGCTACTTGGCACTTACGTAAAGTTACTAGCCTATGGTACTCCATCTGTTATCGCCTCATATCCTCTGGTGTCTGAGTATGCATGAAGTCGTTGGATTTTAGCTTAACTGACATTAGTCTAACTTTGGAAAATGCCGAATTTGCTCAAGTTAGTGTCTCCATTTTAGCGCTCGAACCGACCGCAACACGATATGTTTCCGTGTATACAGCAAACTACGATTTTCTGCACTGGAAATGACGTTTGATGATACTGAGGCTCTTCGATGTTGTCAGTATCTCGAGGTTTGTCTATCTTGTATAAATGAAGACTTAGCATCTGATTGTTTAAGACTTCATTTTTTTATGCTGGCTCATCGATCAGCGACGGTACTTGTTAAAAAAATGCATATTAAGAGAAATGCAGTTCAAGTTATTTAACCGCCGTTTCTTAGAAAGCGTCTTGTTGAGTGCCATATGTTTGTCGCTTCTATTCAGGAACTTTGTCTGCAGGGAAAACTTCTTACGCCACGTGAAATTTCACTTAAAGAATGCCTTCAGTCTATCCCACGGGCGCCCACCATGACATCCTTCGAACACAGTGTTCGCGCACTCCGAGTAAGTACAAACCTTAGTTATTGAAGTGATTTGGATAATGACAGATAACAGCAACTGTGGAACCGTTGTTAAACAGTAAGGGTCCGTTAACGGCTTCACACATATAAGCTCCTAAAACATTCTTGATGAGGCCCTCAGGATGTATATTATGGCTAACAATGGCGCCCTTTAGGGCAAAGTTCTGTTTAAATTAAGTACCCAAACAGGTATATTTTTCTCGAACGATTTCTGAAACATGAAAATATATTTAGTAAAAATTTATTCGATTGTATAATGAACATTCATTTGATTGGATTAAGCAATAATCCCCAGTTCACCTTCACTTATTTTCAGATTGAAGATGCATTTGATGCATTTGACAGTCTAACTGAGCTGGGATTCCACATGTGCGATTTGCCGTTGCCGCCGAGATATTCAAAAATGGTCCTTATCAGCATCGCTCTGAAGTGTGTTGATCCAGTGCTTACTATTGCCTGCATTTTGGCCTACGAGGATCCATGTGAGTAAAATTTTTTTCAAATTTAACCCTCCCCCATTTTATGGCTTCCTTAAAACCTAATGCGATGCCTACATTATGAAATTTGTAGTCGGAAAAGTATTTACCCCTGGCTCTTCGAGCTTAACTTTTTAGGGTTTAAATGGGCTTTTAAAATACTGTTCAAGATATCTTACTTTAAAAATACCGTCTGTTACATTCTGGGCGGCAAACGTCGCAAAAAACATTCGATGCTGGCGACATTTTAGCTTGCTCTTTGTCGAGCAGTATAGTTTTAAATAGTTCCGCTTCCAAAACTTCGACTGTGGATTTTGGAATTAGACTTCTAGTGGGATCTGAAGACTGCCTTATCCGGCAGCGGCCTTAGTCTGGTAGAATTAATGTGTTTAATCTTTGAATAGAATTTTCGTTAACCTCGTATAACTTAAACCTCTGTCCACGGTTAATAAACACTCCACATTTGCCCATTCTGTACCTATAGTTTTGTTACTACATTCAGCAAATACTTAGAGCAAAATTTGCCCCTGAAATAAATGGAATGTGACCCGTGTCAATATCTCCCGATATAAACCAGCAAGACAACGAGCTCCTGGCTCAATGATTAGTGCGTTATATTTCTTATCAAAAAGGTCGCGAGTTCTAGCCTCGGGTGGTGCACCACTTGGGATTGAGTATGACTGGCTGACGACGCCTAAGTAGCCAGAAGCGGCCATTCCAGTCTCCCTTCTCTTTACCGGCAAGATTACCTAAATATGACGACTCTCGACTTTTACTCTCCTCAGAAACTAATGCGCTAAATTGGAAGAAATCTCTTCACGTTTAGTCTCAACGTCGATTTGGTCATTTCCGAGGACATGACAATCTGCAATTTAAACATTAGAGTGTCAAAAAGTAAACGGCGAACGATGAATGATTCTCTTGTTAGACCAAACTCTTTATACAGACGCAACATATTTTTGCTTGTAGCTAGCATGATTCCTGCCATTACTTGTAAATTATGCATTATGTGTGATAGTTTTTTCTGCGGAAAAATGGACTTATTCAGTCTTGCCTCGAAACCTTTATAGTTACGATTCCAGGAACGGCCTCGGAGCGGAGGGAGGCTTTGGCTGTAAGAAAGAAATTTGCAGCCGATTCCTTAAGTGATCACATGGTCCTGCTTCGTGCGTTCCAAGTAAGACATTTCAAGACGTCCGGAGGTCAAGAAACGCGGAAATGTTTTTGTGTTCGATTGCAACGTTTTTGAAAGGGAGACGTTTGGTTTTTCATCGTTTTTAGAGGCCTTTGATTGTTTTTTTTTTCGACTGAAGCATGGGATAGTTAACATGCAGACTGACATTACAGTTCTGTTTTCCCCCTACTTTTTTAAAGTTCGTACTGTAGTATGCCTCTGATTTGATATTTTGAATTTTAGTTTTGGCAAAAGGCCAGATTCGAAGGCTGGGAGCATAACTTTTGCAAGAAGAACTTTATTTCAACTGCTGTGTTTGAAATCGTAATTAGTAACAGGTTAGTTATTGACAACTTTTTATGCATATATGGCGGACGGCAACGTCATTCGGCAACCAAACATCAAATCGAACCAGGAAAGGAATGATTTAGGTTTGGATGTAACAGGAATACCGGTTAAACTTAGCTTTAGTAGGCCTAATGCAGTCCTTGCCATTTTTGCTTAATAGGGATGAGACGGATCGAAATTTTACATGTTGCTAAGTGAGGAAAATATCCAACATTTTTTCTGTGGTTTCTTGGTTCGGCAATAAAATCATAACACTACTTGGCATAATTCCATAGTTATTTATTTAACGATACTCGTCCATCGGACTGTCTTTTCTTATATTTCCATTTATTTACACAGCAACAACAAACTAGGTATATTCTAGTGATTAGCTTGACTCCTTTGAGGTCCTCTATAAAGCGCATGGTATATACAAGCACCATATTGCATTCTTGCAACTTCGATACGACATACGATGTTTTGAGTCTGGTAGCTACATAATTTGGCTACATTTTTATTATACCTAGGATACTGAAGACAAGAAAACCTGACTGTTAACGCCCCTAAAGAAGGGGAAGATATTTGCATCTAGTGTCAGTTTTCTGAAGCACTACATGCGATATCTTTACTGCTGTTAAGTTGTTTAAAACGGACAGTCCAAGCCTAGCCTAGAATTGCTCAGTAGTAAGTGGAAAACCTAAAGCAAAAGATTAGCGTTCAGAACTTTTTGTAGGATGTTAGTGGTATTAAGAGTGGTTTCACTTTATCGTGAAGGCACTTAGTGAATCTTTGCATAATCATCGTATGCATTCACAGCTTATCATCGGTTTCCCTTAAATAGGACACAGCTACTCGGGCAACTTCGAGCTTCTGGTTTTGTGAAAGCCCGAGGCAGCGGTGATATTCGAGATTTAAATACAAATTCGGAGAACTGGGCAGTAGTTAAGGCTGCCCTTGTCGCCGGGATGTACGGAAATCTGGCAAAATTAAACCGTCAGACTGGCGAGTTTCTTCTTTTTGATTCTTCTCTTGATGTTTCTCTTGACCAGCAGGAAAAGACTACCTACAAGGTAAGTTGAGATTCAGAAATTTCGGAGATCTTTTTTCTTTAATGGGATCTGAATATTATACTCTTTGTCATGCAAAGCTAATACAGCAGCTTGCTATTGATCTAAGTCCTGATTAGCTGGGTCAACCGCTTTTTGTGTCACAAGAGAACAACAGGGCTTAATCTCACGTATGTACATACTAGTTTATTTCGCTACGTTTGGCCAACATATGCCATCGTTTGGTCAAGGCTGGCAGGATAGCCCGCATTTCGGCCAGGAAACTTGCTAGCCTATTGACCTCAAGTTCGACCAGGTGGTCTGGCATAATCCATGTGCGCGCACCAAAGTCACTCTAATCAATCAGCTATGAAAGCTCGACCTGGAGAGTTTAATTGTATGGCGGCTGGCGCTTAAAGGTGAGAGGCGGGGGTGGAGGGGGGGCAAGAGTAGCAGCTTTGACCCCAGGCGGTAATTCGATCTCCAGGTGAATTTACTTCGTCCGGTTTACCACCCACACAGATCATATGTTCTTCGGACGCGAGGGGAACCACGATCGTTTCAGACGGATCACATTGGTATGCAGGCCTGTATCGCATCTACCGCACTCTTTTTCTTTAACCGTCGTATTTTGGTGGGTAGGCAAAGATAGAAATACTGGAGGTGAACCGGCATGGTGGCTGACGAGTGTTAAACAGCCTAGATGTATGTACTACACATGACCTGGTCCCTTATTCCGCAAATGTGAACGTGAATACCATAGGGGCCAAAGTAAAGAGCCTTTTTCAGCCTGACATTCGGTCCTAGAATGTGTTATTCCGTCACTGGGGAGCCTTCAAGGGTGCGAGCTTCAGGGACAAGGGCGACAGATTTTGCCTGTACGGAAATTCATAAAGAATACGATATTCAAAAGAGTGCACATAGGAAAAGACGACGCTGATGCCCAAAGTGCTGAAAACTGAGAATTGACAACTATTCCCGAGTTCTTCAAGCATACCTTGCTAAGGAACTGCATCCGCCTCATATAATCCCACAGGGTTATCTATGTCGCAGATATGTATAATCCTAAAAAGTACAACAATATGTAACCATTCTGTTTCACGATCACATTCAGAAATGATTAAGTAAACCAATTATTTATTAGTATCCCAACTGAGTCTAGATGCTTTAATGGACTTGTAATGCATACCTCGTCTCCTCTATATTAAGAACGTTAATATGACCCTGGATAGTTTTAAATAATGTTCGTTGCTGTGAGATCAGAAATAGAAAACCAGAATGCATGATCGAATCTGGTTTCCTTGGATAACCCTGCATATGCTTATTCCTAATATCACATTGACAGTTCAATCAACTGGCACACAAATCACTAAAAGTCTGATGATATTGCAGTGTTGGAGATAGACAAACTAAATCTTCGAAACAGTTTTGGGGAAGCCGCTAATATCTCACTAAGATTTACCCACGCTGTTTCATGTATTCCCATTCCGGAAGCAATACACGTTGCTGTCGACAGTTATTGATAAATAAACAGGAACTCTATTCAGAATTGTTTCGATCCGTATCCGCGATGTCCCCGAATTCACTGTCCAGAAACAGCCAGACAGAGCCTTTCGGTAGCATACTCTTCCTGTTCTATTTGTTAAGGCAAGGCCAAGCCCGCTTTCTGTCCTCGCTAACAACGGGGAAGGCATTCCCTCAGACTTGAAGGTGCTACCATCCGACTGGATTGTTTTCGACAAAATTATTGGCCAGCGTCCGCCGTGTGAGGATATATCCCGAACCAATCTCGGGGTGGGCCATGGTAAATGCACATCTGGCAAAGGAAGACAAAACGGCCACCAACTTCCTGGAAGACCAACAGTAACTCCCAAAGTTGTCCCACACTATGAGCAGAAACTGCTGACCTGTGTCACAGTGATTTCTCCCATCACAGCTGCCATCCTCTCAGGACCAGTCAGAACAAAGATCACCTGCGTACCCAGTGGAGGCAATGGTAGGAGTGTTCTCTTCTTGCTCATGTAGTTTACTTACATTCGTCATTATGGTGGTCCGCTTGGCAATCTCACAGTATCCACGTACTGTTACAGTAAGCCTAACAAATGCTGTGATAATGAGTCCACTGAGACATGTTTTGTGCATTTATTTGGCAAACGAGCGGCTCTACTTTATATAGAAAGAAAATATGAAGATTGCGTATATAGCAGGATTTAATGGAACCATAAATTTCGCGAGCGCTCATCAGCTGCATCCACTCGCTGCATAAACTAAGTAACGAATGAGAAAATACAGAATTGAATTCATACAGAAAAATCGATGCAAAAAACATCAAGGTCACAAGAATTGGCCGAGGGACAATCAATAAAGTAGGAAATTTAAACGCTGTAGGCAGCAAAAAACGGTATAAAAACGTCTAAGGCAAAAAGTTGGGAAGGGGACTGTGTAAACAGGGAGCCGTGCTACCATGGTAAGGTTAGATTCACCACATGCTCCAGTTGTTTACATAGGTCAGGTTTAAACCGC